TATATATATATATATATATATATATATATATATATATATAGGTTTAACACATGGAATTAAAGTGGAAATTCGGCACAAGTACAAAAGAGATCATTCGCCATCATATGTCATGGACTTATCATTGTGGAAGACTTGGAACAATCCTTTTCAGCTTCTTAAAAAATATATGTAATAAGCAAAATTGGAAACCGATTTTAAATAAATTAAAATATAAAGTAACAGAGCTTTACATAAGAATTCCTCTTTGCTTTCATAATTCATTACCCTAAAAAACCATTATGATTAAGTACTCTCTAATCATTAGCCAAAAGCCAAATAACAAAGGATTAGGCACCAAAACCCTCTTTTTAAAACTGTTTTAATATTTATATCCCTAAAAGGAATCATGCCGAAATAACAAAGAGCATGAAAGCCCAAAGCTCCATTATGAATGAAAGAGAAGTTCAGATTCAGATGTCCTTTTTTGACAAAAACAATAATTACATGCAAGAAACCACATCATGTACATGAAGAAGGATATGGCCATGTCGGGAGTTTTCAAATACCAGGAGTGAAACTAAGCAGAGCAATCTCTCCTTCAGCCGAAAGATCTTTCAATGTTTCATCTTTTCTTGCTTGCTGCTACCAACTGCAGATCGAACAACGAAAAACCCGAAAAAAACCCATTTCTTTGAGTCCTTTTGAATTCGTAAACGAGATCGGTTTAATCTTAATCCCGAGTTTATCAACCACACTTACATGTTAGTGCAGAAGAGACTTCAGAGCTCTTTATCACACGCAGCCTCTTCACCGATGACACGAACATACTAAAGATCAAATTCGACATGTCAAGATCCAAAAGCAAGGAAGATCGATACAAGCTAGATTCTATTGTCTCAGATCATCAATTCAAGATTGGATAACGGCGAAACAAATGAGAATCAATAAAAAGGAAAGAGGGTTAAGGCGTTCTTACTGCCATGGAACATCCCCAACGAGCATCTTGTCGCCGTCGCTGTCTTCGTAAGTGAGAGTGTATTCGCCATTACCGTCCAACAATCCGGTGATGGGTTTCTTTTTTCCTTGTTTCTTTTCTCTTTGAGCTGAAAACACATAACATAACATAAAGCAACACTGCTTATTCTTGCCTTCTTCAAGAAATAGAAAGCCATGTCCAAGTAGAAAACACTACTGCACAAAGTTGTATGGTTGAGCAAAAGATCAATTTTTTCCTCGCAACTCAATTACCACCAAGGTGAAGCTTACAAGATACCGTTTACGAGTTGAATGGACGAAGTTTTCGGAGTTTTTAGAATCCATAAACCAAAAAAATTGGCAAATCAAGATTTTGTAGGTTTAGTTTTCTAAAAATTCTCTGGAAAATTACTTATGGTGAAAAAAACAAATAAAAACTAAAAATTTGATTTTTTTGGATCTACAAATATTACAAAAACTAAAAACCGGAAAAGAAAAACTAAAATCCAGAAACCAAAAACTCAAAATAAAAACTATCATAGTTCATAGCCTTAAATATCTAGATTCCGCCTCGTCAAAGGCTAAACCCTTTCATCAACAAGTTCACAGAAGAAAATCCTCTGTGTTGAAATAGAAAAATGAATATGTGATTGAAGGAAATATTGATTTTAAGATATGATTAGAAATAATAATGGACATAATATTATATCAAATATTGTGTATCGATCTTATTTATTTCTATTTCCTTTTTATTTCGTCTTATAGTTTTCCTATAAATATTTGAATCATTTTCATTGTAATTCAACAAGAAGAAGAAGAGATGTAGCAATAAAGTAATTCCGTTTATTTTCGTTTGTCTTATTTTATTTCCGCATTTTATTTTTCTACACTCTGATCCACTTACCCCGTACAATAAACACTCTAAAACCCACAGATAGGATTTATATAACTTAAAAAATATATTGTTATGTAATCACAATTATCCTATACATGTAATTGTAATATTTATGATCTATTACACATAAAACCTAAAAACTCTAAGATCAAGCGAGGTGCTATGACAAAAAGAGTTAAAGGTAGAACTTCAAAGTCAAGCGAAGTGATTTGAACATGGGTAATATTCTCTAAAAGAACTAAATTTGGTGTTTATGGATTTTTCAAAAGACAATGAAAATGTCTATGGATTTTTATCGCATTATCTTTTCAAGATTGATTTTTGCATTCTTTCAAAATCAATCTTGAGGGGAAATGTTGAAATAGGAAAATGAATATGTGATTGAAGGAAATATTGATTTTAAGATATGATTAGAAATAATAATGGACATAATATTATATCAAATATTGTGTATCGATCTTATTTATTTCTATTTCCTTTTTATTTCGTCTTATAGTTTTCCTATAAATATTTGAATCATTTTCATTGTAATTCAACAAGAAGAAGAAGAGATGTAGCAATAAAGTAATTCCGTTTATTTTCGTTTGTCTTATTTTATTTCCGCATTTTATTTTTCTACACTCTGATCTGGAGGTTTACTATTCATAGAGAGCAAAAGGGTTTTCTTCGTTCACTTAGTCGACTCTTAATCCAAACACTTCAATTGCCACTGAATCATACTGTAGGAGAAGCATATGCAACAAAGGGCACTGAAAACTGCAGACAAGAACAAGTTTTAAACCTGCAAGGAGATCTCTGAAGAGCCTGTCGACGGCAGAAGACAGATGCTCGTAGCTGTTGTAGGCATTGAGATCGACTTTACGACCAATAGGAACACCGTCCATGTTGATCTTCACGAACAGACATTTGGTCTTAGGTTGGGCTAACCTGCTCTGTCCACCATTGGAGGACCCGTTTCCCGCCTTGGAAGAGCTTCCACTCGCTATGTTCTTCCTGAACGACCGGACCGGTGGCCAACCCACCAACGGACCAGGAGCAGTTCTTCAATTTTTTTTCCCCCACAAGAATTCAAGAAAAGGCGGCAAAGTTAGTAACTTTGAAAGAAATTGCGATAAAGCAATAATAGATCTTCAACACGATTGCAGAAGATATAAAACATGAATATTATGCTGGACCTTGAAAGAAACAGCTTTCTACTGGTAAAAGAACTTCAAGTTTCAGTAAAAACAAAAACAAAAGCAGAAAGGTAAAGAAAAAATCAAGATTTCTGAGATCCATTGGCACAGGAAACGATCAAAACTTGCAGGATACAGGACCGTATGTCAAGTGGATATCCTTTGCCAAAAGGGTACAGAAAGGAAAACGAAAATTAAAAGTAAAAAAGAAAAAGGGATTACCTTTTCTGGGAGCTGTGAGGAACAGCTGTGGGTTTGTCTGTGGAAAGGGAAATGCAGTTACCAAGACAGAGCAGAGACTTGTCCTCTGTGTCCTTATTCGTTGCCAAACAATCTTCATCGCAACCAGGTGGTCCGAGCCTGAGCTCGAGCTTCTTCTCCTCTGTGTTGCAACACCCATGGCTCGATTTCTCGTCGTGGAACCATTCTCTGTCTTTGGGGATCAAATACAGAAGCCTTTGAGAGATTTCGCCGTTTCTTGAACAGCCCTCCATTTTGTTAGGTTGGGAGGGAAGCTCTTCTCTCGATTCTTTCTCCAACAAAATGAGCAAACAGGGGAAGTAATTGAACAACCCAACACTTGAAAACAGAAAATTTCCGTCCCAAAGTTAACCACTCCGTCACGCAAAAGAGCAAACTTCGTCTAAACCCATGAGAACCCACATCTTGATATCATCACAAGAAGCCCCTTTTAGCATCAAAACGTGCTTTCTTTAGAGAGGGAGAGAGATAGGAAACATCTACAACTCACCAAACCCTTGAGACCAAAGCTTGAGAACCTGAAATCAAGTAGAAAAAGGCCCACAAAAGTAGAGAGAGAAATGCCTTCAAGCTATGCTAAGGGTTTGTGAGGGTGGTGGGATTTTATAAGAATCAAAGCTTTGCCTTTTTTTTTCTTCTGGTGTTTTTTTTAATGCACGCGTGTTTGGATTTTCTTCTCTTTCACTCCCTCTTTTTTTTTCTCTCACTTTGCCCTCTCTCTACTCTGAAAGAGGCGAAAGAGATTTAAATAGAAAGAGAAATAGGAGAGAGAGCGGATTTGTACTGTGGGAAAGAACAAAAGGGATCGTGAGTGATTGCAGTTTCATCCTAAAACCCAGAAGGGAAAACAGTGAAATAGAAGGGGAGAATTGTAGTGTGATGTGAAACACACGCAATCTCTCTCTACATGCATATGTACGTACGTATGTATGTATGAATACGCGTCGTTACAGAACGCTAAGGATGTTGTTTAGTGGAGGAAGCAAAGCGTGATGTCTTTCCTTGTCTGTTCATATGCTTTCTTTTCCTCTAACGCACATCAAGTAAATTAAATTATTTTACGTAAAATTCACGGAGAAAATACTATCTAAATAACTCAACTTTATAAAATATATAATCCAATTTGGATACTTCAATTGGTAAAATAGGGGTACGAAGGTCTGTCTTATTCCGAGTTCGAATTTCAAATTGGGATGAAGGGGAGAGCGAACTTCTAATCACGTGGTTTGATTTCGACATCGGAATTAGTTTGGATCTTGAATACTCGATTAGCAAAAAAGTTTTATAAAATATGTCAAATATAGATTTAAAATTTTAATTTTATCTAATTGATACCTCCAATATTAAAATACTACAAATTGATATCTCAAATATTAAAATGTTTCAAATAGATATTCCACCTACGAAAATGAGAGAAATTTAATACCTCAATTCGTTTTTTATGTTGGTGTAGACAGACTTGCGGAGAGTTGAAGAAAAACCCTAACATATTTTTATTATTTACAAAGTTACCCTTATATATAATTATCAAATTAACCATATATTACTAAAATTATTAAAAAATACAGATCGTATCAGATATGTCGGATAATTTTATTTTGATATCCGTATCCGATCCGTATCCGGCGAATATTTTAAAATCAATATCCCTTCCATGAACTCCAAATATCCAAATTATCGGATCGGATACGGATCATATCGGTTTTTTCGGATATTATGTCCACCCCTATTGGTTTCAGATCTGGCGAAAAATGTGTTCGAGAACTGTGAAAGTGAGGGAAAAAACAAGAAAGTAAATGAAAACAAAGAGAGAGTAAGTGACAAAAACACTATGTTTGCATTAATTTTCCAATAGATCATGTTTTTTCCTCTAATGTAATTTATATACAACATACATACACACTACCTCAATAATAAAATCGTAACAGATTTGATTTGCATATTTAGTACTAATAGAGTTGTAACATAAATGATTCTCTTTTACAAAATATTCATTTGTATATTTAACACATCCGCCTCACGTTTATATCTATATGACGAAAGATATAAACTTGAAACTTATAACTTCTGCAAAAGCGAATGGAACAATGCTGACTGTAATGTCTTTGTAAATAGATCTCCAAGTTGATTCATGTTGGTTGTAATGCTCTAGGATATTCCGTGATATGACATTTTGACATTGTATTGATTCATTGATTTATGAATGCGTTACATTCCGTTATATGATTGGCATGTTTGTTATATTTCGGTATCCTTGAATCATTATAGAATGATTCTAAACTCCCTGGTCAGTTATCATTGTGGGAACAATGATGAATTAAGACTAGCATGAGGTGTGATTGATGCATTGGATGCATTTCACAATCATGGGTACTCGTTGTGAACGAGTGACTGGTTGACCCGCATGAGATTGTCACATGGACAGAGTCATGACTTGAATCTCATAAAGCGGTTTGTTCTTGGATCCTCAGACCTGAGATGTCTAGAGTATCTGATATGAGGAGTGGCGTGTCTTGACTGCGTCAAACGTCGTCTTTAACCGGATGATTATAACGGCGTTGATCAGATACGTTCACGAATCATATGGAGATAATGGACATGCAATATGGGACTTGTCACCTCCTCAATAGGAGAGATATCGCTGGGCCCTCTCATGGAAGTCGGACTATGAAAATGCGTGGCCACGCTATAGATGAAGTTGCATCTATTTTATTAGTCGATTTGCCAAGACGAGAAAGCAGTCGAACTTGAAGGGTGGCTCAAATCATGCCCTTGTTCAACTTATGATATCGTGAGACAAAGGATCAGAATTCGAGCTGTTAATGCCTTGGTTAGATCACCTCTAACTCAATTCAACGTGGGTGGTCATGGCGTCTTGCTAGAGGCTAACCATGACTTGTAGATCGGGAATGGTTCTCGAGGCTGCTGCCACTGCGAATGGGCCTACAGGGTCACACACCAATAGGGATAGACTTATACGTGAAGAATACGAAGAATGGAAACGAGATTTGACCGAAACAAGCATGAAAAGGAGTTTTCAGTGTGTTGGTCCGGAGCTGACCAAGTTTGGTCAGCCC